CCGGCGATCTGCGTCACACCATTCGAGTTACATCATGGTGGAGAGAAAGCACRGATCTTCGCTGATCTCCTTTTCCCACAGGCTGCCGACATAGACGTCCCTTGCTCTCCCGCTTCCGTCCGGAAGTACCGGGACTTGCTGATCAAAGCCCGCGCAAATATGCAAAAGGCTCAGATCCGCATGCAGCAGCAGGCTAACCGACGTCVACTTCYATRTCCTTTCCGCGAGGGAGACCTTGTTTGGGTCCTCTCCGAGGAATTTGCGCTCGAGCAGGATGTTTCGCGCAAACTCCTTCCGAAATGGTTCGGACCATGGGAAGTCACTTCTGCCGTTGGAGACGATCTCGCAGGTCCTTCCTTCGTGATCAACATTCCACCGCACCAAACAGTGCATCGGGTCTTCCACGCATCGAAGCTGGCCATCTACACGCAACCTTCAGATGACGAGTTTCCCGAACGTCGATCACAGGATCCCCCCTCCATGGACGGACATCAGGAAGTGGACTGAGTCATCACGCACCGCAAGTATGGCAACAAGCCAATGCAGTACAAAGTCACATTCAAGCAATGTGCGCCTGACGACACTCGGTGGATCTCCAGTACAGATTTGCAGACTTCTGCACCCCTTATCTTTGCCGACTATGAGAAGCGACGCCTTGCTAAGGACGCAACTCGTCCCACCCGACCCATCCCGGTATCGGACAAACAACTCCGCCCTCGCAAGTAGCTCGGTCTTTTAAGAGGGGGAGTGTGTTACATCTTCGACGCCACACGGGTCCTACCGGACCCGACTTAGGGCTAGAGGGACACATCAGGGCCTAAAGGCCTGACCTTGGGGGATAACAGGCCGAAAGGCCACGACTTGGACCCAACTACGGACCAGGCCCAAATGACATTTCGTCTTCGGGCCTGACGGCGCCGTTTGAGGCTGCCGCTCTCCGGTTGGACCTGCATCGTTGATCTGGACGGTTCAGCCCCAACCAAGGCCTCGCAGCAGTGAGGCCGGTCCTCTTCAAACCAGTACTTAGTACTGGTCCGGCCTCACTTCGAGGCATCGACCCACCGGTATTCTACGCGGTGCGGTAAGGTGAGTGCTATTCCTAGCGCAGGAGCGAAGGGCAGCAGAAGAGCGACCTAGCGCAGCGGCAGCAGCGAGCGAGGACCGCAGCAGCAGCACGGCGGCCATCGCCGCCTCAGCAGCAGCAGCTGCAGGTACCAGGAGGCGGGGATCTCTTCCTCCCTCCTCGGTCCCTTTCCCTCCTCCTCACCTTCCTCTCTCTCTCTCTCTCTCTCTCTCTCTCTCTCTCTCTCTCT